ACTTTTGCTTTCTCTCTCTGAGGACAACGACCAAGTAATACTACCTTTGCCGATTTGATTCATCAATCATCATTGTTTCTTATTTATAAATACTGTTTCTACCACCAGTCAAACTAAGAATTCCAAATCCATATCCTAAAAGTAGTCACTTTCACCAAAAAACACACGCACAAACAAAATAAAAATCCTAAATATAAATGGATCAAGTTGTGTTAGTTTTCCTTTTCTTAGCTCAACATTCTTGTTGTATAATACGAAACACATCGGATGTGACTTATTTTCTCGATAAAACTTATTTTCTCGATAACTTCTATCCCGCGCACAGCGCGGGCCTTGCCTAGTAAAAAGAATATATATACGAAGGACATCGGATTGTTACACTAGATAAACGAGATATAGATTAAAAGAGAACTTAAGGAAAAAAAAATGAGAGAGAGAGCAAAAGAAGAAAAGGCGATTGTAGATCTAGGGTTGCCCCTTCCGGCGCCGGTCGTTGCCGTGTGCCGTGAGGGGTCACCGGTTTTTAGTTTTTTCTTTAGTCTATCTCTTTCGTGGTGTGGGTCCTTGTTGATGGTGGTGGAGATGGGTAAGTTCTTCTTTGCTGGTTGAGATGGTTAGGGTCTTAGGTGTGTTGTACGTCGAAGGATTGCTGTCGTGACGATGTTGTGTCTGGGTTCGGCTTCGTGTTTCGTGCTCGAGGGATTTGTGTCTCGGCGTCAGATTTGGGGTTTCTCAAGATCTCGTTCGGCTGAGATATCGAATTCAAAGGTCTGTGAGATGGCGAAACTTAGGGTAATGGGTGGTCTCGGAATTTGGCTTTGGTTTGCCAGATTAGGTCCTCACGTTTTCTCACTTAGATTTTGGTTCTGATTTCCAGTGATTTAGGCTTTCTTTGTCTATTTTGTGCCACCAGGTTGGATTCACCATTCGGTTTGGGTGACTTGTGTGCTTCCGTTTAGCAGCCTTTTCGGTTTGGTTGTTTTGGAAAGGATGAGCATGGTTTAGGGGCTTTTCCCTTGTGTACAAGAGGGTTTGGGTTCCTTTTCTCTTGTTGCTATTGGAGGTTTCGACGTAGTCTTTTTTGCTGGATATTTCTATACTGGTCTTGGTTCGGGGAGAGGGTTTAGCTGGTATGCTTCCCGTTTGCTGGAGTTCTATTTGGTTGTTTGGCTCTCTTATCGGTTATATTGGTGTTTTTGACTTGGTATGGGGTGTTTATTGGATGACTTACATTTTTGAAGAAAATGTTCTCGAGACTCATATCCCTTGCCAAACAAAAATACTTCCTTTTCACTCGTTTTTTCAGAATAATTTTTCAATCGGCGATGTACATCAACAGCTAGCCAACTCCATTAATTTAGAGTGGTTTGTTGAATATCATTTGGAGATTCCTCGAGTGGATGGTTTGTTCTTTTTCTTGTTTGGTGGCATTGTTCTTCATGGTTTGCACGGGCTCTTCTGATTTATGCGTAGCTGTAGCCTGTGTCCATCGTGGATATGGAGGTTGCCTTGCTTTGGCCCTTGCATCTTCGCCTTCTGTTACTGGTTTGGTGAGCTTGTGTTCGTATATGTGTATCTCTAGTGTTGATTGGTTGTATTCTTTGCTTTGGTTCTCTTGTATTAGCTTTGCCTTCGGATTAAGGTTTGGACCTTGTTTCTTTTTTTGGACTCTTGGTTTTAGACTTTTGATTCCGCTTTGGATTAGCTTCGATTGGGTGTGCCCGGTTCTGGTTTTGATATTCAGTGTAATATCCTTTCTTTTGCAATAGTATCATTTTAGATGCCAAAAAAAAATAGTTCCTGTATATAATTTTAAAAAAAAATTAAAAGAATAAGATGTCATAAATGGGATTTGAATCTACGCCCTCTCTCTCTCGAAGGCCTGAATTTCTAGCGCCTTAGACCACTCGGCCACCCTAACTTTTTAATTAAAACGCACATAATGTTATTAATATCATAATAAACTGTGGTCTAGTCAATTTATAATAAACTTTGGTTTGAGTTTTGTTGACCAATGAGTTTACATATGACGCAGATTTGGTCTCCGGTCGTATTACTTTGAATATTTAGTATTTAGCAG